ACTACCTGTTAGTGGTCTGTCCGGATTCGAGCGAATATTTTCAGATTGCGGCGCTGAATTTTCGCGGGGTTGTTGCGTCCTGTCTGCTGATGTCGTTGTTAATATTCTACGCATATTGGCGATTTCTCTATCTATCGCGTGCCTCATTTCCCAATTTTCCGCGATTTCTGCGTATTTGGTACCAGTGAGACAGGCATTTCGTTCTCACTGAATATCTCGTTTGGATAAAAAATATTGCTATCGTAGGATGATAACGAAAAATCTCCTCTGAGAGAGAGATTACTGGGCGTTCGACTGATTATTAGTCTCGCATTTTTAGGTTTTATTACGGATGCTTCCGCTTCTTCGCACGCGTTAGTCGCTATGAGGGAAGTATCGGTCGCACTTTCTGCTTGGTCAAATCGTGCTGCTCCGTGTGGTTGATCGGGTAATTCGATCTCTTCCTCAGAAGAGTAATAATTCTCTAGATTTTTCCGAACGCGTTCTGTGATATCTTGTACGGTTGATTCAGCTAGGTACAATAATTTTACTGTAGGAATTTGCGTGAGTCACCTTATAGATTTTAACGCGGGCTCACTATGCAACCACGATTTGTTCTTTAAGTGTGCGTTGATGTTCGCGTTGACAGCTTGGCCTTTCCTCTCCTTGGTGAGCTTTTCCGGGGACGATACTGCTTGGTACCTCTCTATGGGTCGGCAGTTTCCGTCGGTCTCGGCTCCACTTTGGCGGTCGTCGTAGTACGAATTTCTGTCAGTTGTCCTGGCTGATTGCTGCACTCATCGGTGACGCTCCTTCAGTGTGTTTCGAGCCTCTTATTTGCTCACTCTCCTCCTTGACTTTACCACTGGTGTCCGTGAAATATTTTTCACGAATACTTCTCGTCTTTTGTTTCAGATGCAGGCTTGCTGACAATCTTTTAAAACAATCCCACCGCTGCCACCAAATTGTTGCAGGATCGTTTAATAAGACAGTGGTGGCGGAGGAAGTTTCAATAAAAACGTAGTTTTATTTTAAGAAAGGAGTCTTATTGACTTGGCTCTCTGCTAGCGCGTTACAAATGTAGTCTTAGAGATAGATACGTTCGTCTGGTTCGGTCGGCCGATGGTCTGGTTCTGTCTTCTTTCGGTGACGGCAGTCGATTTATAGACTCGTCGCCGAAGAAATCTTGCAAATTTTGCGGAAACATCACGCCACTTGCAACTTTCGTCCACGCAAACAGTGCATTCTTTGCCTATTGCCTTTTTTGGACTTTCCGCGGTGTGGCGTGGTGCTGCAACACGTGCGGCGCAGGCGGAAGTGCTTCGCATAGCACTTTCGCCCATATAATTAATGTATATTAATTATGGGTAGTTCGTCAGGCTTACTCGGGGCATGACACTAGTGACATCGTCGTTACGAAGTTAGAGAGTCTCCCTACAGGACACGAGTGTCGTGTCTCACAAGGGGAGGACGCATCGACCGGGAAACGATTTGGAACGAAACTTACGGAGTTAATAGTACTTGACTACTAATAACTCATGGTAATAGCATACGACGCAATACTTCTTCGTTTTCGAGAAAAAACGGTCTAAAGAAAAGAGCCAATAAAGTGTACGAGTTAGTAAGAAGGGTATTCCACGAAGCGGCGTAGCGCAGCAGCGAAGGTAACAGACTACTGAGCTAACGGCTGAGGTTCGATCCCTGCTTATATATGGTTTTTTTATTCTGTAAGCATAAAAATGAAACAGAAAACATTAATAAGTAATAAAACTGCGTTTCTTAAATATATTAGTGTTTGTTAAATATACTATTAATAATTTAAATTGCAAAAAAACCGTAAATCTTATCTATAAAATATATAGTGTATGAGAAAATTCTTATATAATAATTGCCAATGGAAATAGGAGTAAAAATATATTATATTTTCGCTGGAGGATTTTTCGATAATAATTCATTATTTTCGTAAATAGAATTCGCACATACGAGAGAATTAGTGAATTCACCTTTAAAATCTTCATTTTCAAAAAATCTTCCTTCTAGCGATTCTACATCAACTATTTTGCTTGTTGAAGGATTCTCTGACATTGTTATGATATATGTAATTTAAATATGATCACCGAATTGCTCTGTATCACTAGTAAACGCACACTGCTGCTTGCTCTACTAACGACTGTTCCGATGCTCGAATCATTTCGTCATTCTTAACGATCGTTTAGAATGACACAAAGGAAGTTTTTGGAGGGGGATTACCAGAAGAGATAAAGACACAACACAACTTCAACACAACATGACTTCAATACAACATAGAAAGTTGTAACAGAAATAAATATTTTATATATACGGTATAAGATTACGAAAAATTATCTCATACTAGTTTAACTCTTTGCGATCGGCCGATTTCGAAGAGATCGATAAACATGGATATCTGTAAGTTGATCTAAACATTTGAATCTAGCATCGGGAGGATAGTTTTCTTTCATTATTGCTAGCCTCATTTGCCGTGCCGCACACCAGGCGATCATGAGTGCCAGCCTGGCGGCATCGACTTCTACGACGACTTGCGAATGCCGCCACTGTGGCGGCATTGACTGCAAAGGGTTAATAGCATTCCTATATATTTCATAACAATATTTTTATTCCTATTTCCATTGCAATTATTATATAAAAATTTTCTCATACACTATATATTTTATAGATAAGATTTACGGTCTTTTTACAATTTAAATCATTAATAATATATTTAATAAACACTAATATATTTAAGAAACGCAGTTTTATTATTTATTAATGTTTACTGTTTCATTTTTATGCTTACAGAATAAAAAAGATAAACCATATAGCAGGGATCGAACCTCAGCCGTCACCTCGGTAGTCCGTTACCTTCGCTGCTGCGTTACGCCGTTTCGTTGAATGCCTTTCTTACTAACTCGTACACTTTGTTGACTCTTTTCTTTAGACCGTTTTTTCTCGAAAACGAAGAGATATTGCATCGTATGTTATTACCAGTCAAGAGTTATTAGTAGTCAAGTACTATTAACTCCGTAAGTTTCGTTCCAAACCGTTTCCCGGTCGATGCGTCCTCCCCTTGTCAGTTGCGTTGATCGTGCGGGGCGTGTATGCGTGCGTCGGTATCGCAGAGCACTGTGCTGCTCGCCTGGGCCTGCACACCTTCCCGGCGGTAGCATCTCCGTCGTCTCTACCATGACGACCGGTCTCTGCTCTCCGCCGCTGCCGCGGCACCGCCGTCGCCCCCACACATAGGCCACGTTTACACCGTACACTTAGGCCGTGGCCCCAAATTCGACCTAAATTATTTAGGCCGTCTGCTGTAAACTTGGTAGATAACCTCACCTAGCTTTAGGTCAGGTCTCGAATTTTAGTGACTTGACCTAAAATAAGACGTCTGCTTTTTCGGTGTAAACACGCAACGCGACCTAAGAACTCGACCTAAAGTGCGTTCGAGCATAAAAGTTGATATTGGTGTGTAAAGATTTGTTTATGCATAAAGAAACACAAATATATAAAATGTCATACAGCGGCGGTTTTCAACAAGGTGAAAGTTCGTAAGTAATAACGTTTTTGCTAATGAAAATAATATAAATAGAACTTCAAGGTATAAATTAACCTCAAAAATATTTTATTCAATAACTGTGAAAAGAAACGTAAAGGCTCTAATTGGACTGAAGAAGAAACAAGAACTTTATTTTTATTGCTGTTTGTATTGAAAAGAGGATAATGCAAATAATGGATGGAAAACGATTTAAGCATATAGATATCTATAACTCATTAGAGTCTTCGATGAAGGAAATGGGTTTTATAAAAAGTGGTGCTCAAATGAAAATAAAATTAAAACATCTAAAAGAAATGTATTTTAAATGTAAAAGAAATAATAACATAAGTGGTGCTGCTCGTAAAACGTTTCTTTTTATGATGAAATGGAACAACTACTTGGCGGAAGGCCATCAGCCCAAGCTAATGAAGATACTGATATAGATTCAAGTAATATTGTTCAAGGTATGAATAACCTTTTTGTTAAGTTTTATTTATTACTCATTTATAAAAGTAATAACATGCATTGATATAATTCTAGAAGAAAATGAGGAAGAAATATTTGAAGTTGAAGATGATGTGAATGCTGTAGCAAATGAAATAGAGAATAGTGAAAATATACCTATAATGAATAATATCCCATCCTCAAAAAAATGGAAAACAGGTCAGTATTATTAAGCATCTCATCAAAAGATTAAGTAAAGAATACATGAAAATTCGATGCTTATAACTATATAATATAGATTCTAATAATTTTAGTTTCTAGATAAGGCTACTTAAAATCATTGTTCGTATATTTTTAGGTCGCAACACAAACATGAAACTGGCAGAGAATTTTGCTGAAGTTTTTGCAAAAAGACAGGCGGAAGAAATGCACAGAGTTATGACAGACCAAATGCGTATATTTGATGAAACTATAAATAAACAAATAGAGAATCAATGTCAATGGGAAAAAGAGATGATAGAAAAAGAATACGAACATCAAATTATGATGTTTGACAACTTCTTAAAAGTATTAGGAGCAACGCTAACTGCCAACATTCAATATCCTCAGTTTTCACAAATTTCCAGTGCGTACATTTTCAACATTTGTATCCGTCTCAATTGTCACCATCTTCGTTATCACGCTCACCAACACCATCCTCACCTTTTACAATAATTCCTTCTCCATTATCATCGGTAACTTCTGTACATTTTTAAGAAACAAATGTATCAGTGCATTCACCAGGATCATCAAGCTCATCTTCATATAATGCAGATAATAACAAAAGGAAACATACATAACTTAAACATACATTACATATAAATATTAATATTTTATTTCTGTTTCTTACATTTATAAGTGTTATGTACGTATAAATAAATATAAACGAATGTGCTATTTCTATTTTTATATTTACTTTATTACAAAAATGTACATTTATTTTATAAGAATAAAATATGAACAGAATATCTTATTTTAATATACTTGCACGCGACGGATAATTATGACATAAATAATCTGTTAAATGTTTTTGAATAGTTGACCCAGATATGTCATCACCTTCTCGATGTATAGCATTAACAGGTTGCGGGTGTATTATTTCCGCTTCAACCATATCATTCAGCCAGTGTTGAATACATTGTTCCTTCCTACATTCGAGAAAATTTTGCAAAATGTAGCAGGCACTAGTAATATGTGGAACGAATGTATAGTTTACATCAATTCTTTTTAAAAGTATTCTCCAATGTGCTTTTAAACGGCCGAATGTTATTTCTACAACAACTCTTGCAGAGTTTAAATATACATTAAAGGATTCTTGTGCTGCTATTACGTTACCAGGATAACTTTTTATTAACCATGGTAACAGCAGATATGCTGGGTCACCGATAATTAGGTAAGGTATCTCTAAGCCACTAATATTTCTTGTAACCTTCAGTAAAAAATATATAATGATTTTAAATTGTAAGCAAAGTATAAATATATTTTTCATATAAATAATTATTAAATTTTTAATCTTACCTGTGGAATAATATTTTCAATATCTTTATATAAACTCGAATCTTTAAAAACAGCAGCATCATGAGTGCTCCCAGGATGACGAATACAAATATTTCTAAACCTATAAACAATACTTTGATTAACAATGTATCAGCTATTTTACCGTTATTAAGAAATTAAATGTTAATATGTACCTGTTTTGTCATCAACAACGGCTTGCAAAATATATGAGGGCCAACCCTTACGATTAACAAAATCTCGATAGCCTTCTGTAGGAGCCAAAATGGATATGTGCGAACCGTCAATACATCCAATAATTTGTGGGATATGTGATATTTTTTCAAAATTCATAGCTATTTCAGCAGCTTCGGTATTCGGCATTTGAAAATAATCTTTCATCATTAATTCATTTATGGCATTTACAACTTTATAAAGACACTTTTTCACTGTTGATTTGTGAATGCCAAATACATTTCCCACGACACGATATTCTACACAACTTGCTAATTTGTATAAAGCGACAGCAACTTTCTTTTCTACTGATAACGGTTCTCTTGACTTTAACATAACAGGCTTAGGCTCCAAAGCAGGTTGTAACAAAAACCATAACTCATTGAAAGTTTCCTTGCGCATTTGAAAACTCTCTATCTGTCTGTATACGTACATAGCACTATTTCATTCCAAAAATTATTACTTTTCGGTTTCATCTACAAACTTCTTTCAGTCTGTATCATGTCCAAATATATTTCCAAAATGTTGGTCATAGGAAACATTCTCATATATTCCATATATAATATTCTCTGCATCCTGTGTAGTTGTCGAATTTTGTCCCACATTTTTTTTCTTTGCCGCATAATTTTCCAGTACACAATATTTCTCCTATTTTTTTCAAATATAAAAAACGTGTAAATATCTTGTGTAGATGCCATTTTCAAGGTTAAGATAAGCCGGACCAGAGTGGACTAAATACAACTTCATCAATTTTTAGGTCTTTTTCGGTGTAAACGGTTAGGGACTAAACCTGCTTAGGCCATGACATAGGTCAGGTCGCAATTAGGTCGTACAGTGTAAACGTGGCCATACTTGCGTTTCAAATTTGCGTTTCTCGCATGCGTATATCACCACAGAGCATGCACATATGGCTACTCATCATCTTCATGTTACTGCATATTGTCGGTATGACAAATTTCCTAACCTCAGAACTATCACTTTTTAATACTTCATAACTCTTCTTTCACTTAAGAGCGACTTTTTGCTTTTAGATTTGTGTTTTGCAGATTAAAATATTGCAAAGTTTCACGCAAATCAGAGGAGTCCGTTTCCTTCACATTTATTACATTTAATAGACTTTCATTAATTTAAGACTTTTCAACTTAATTTTCAGTAATCTACAGCGTTTTGTAATAAGTGAAAATCAATGGAAAAACAATATATACATTATTATTTATTTTGTTTCAGACATTTTATATGATTTACATAGTCTTATTTATTTCATCTATTAAACGAATAGACAATTCGTTATTTAATATGAACAATTTGTATTATTCCTCTCGTGAGTAGTTACTACACTCCACTCGGAGCAATTTCAGTTCCGAGGCAGAATTCGCAACATAAAATGGAAATAGGGGCATTCCATTACATGCTGCACCATATTCTCCATTTTTATTCAACGCAATAACTCCGCCAAAAAAAGTGGGATAATGTTGAGCAATTCTGTTAATCGCTGCTCGAGCAGCTATAGTTGGGGTTGCACCATAACGCATCTTCTCTACGGCCAAGAAACTGCAAACAAAGCAATGCATTCGATTGTAACAATGTTAAAAATATCCAATACTGGTGAGTGATGGTGAGTTCGGTCGCCTGCATCGAAAACCGAATTCAGATGATTCATTTCAATTAAAATGAAATAAATTTTTTGTATAATACCTTGGCAAAAATCGCATCATAATATCCCCATCACCGGTGCCAGCTGCCGCGCCGATTTCTTGATCGGCATAAGCACCAGCGCCAGCAATAGGAGAATCCCCGATACGACCAGGTATTTTATTTCTAGCGCCATTCGTTGAAGTACCGGCTGCGATACGCCCTTCTGAATCGATTGCCAGCATGCCAATTGTATCATGATTTTCTTCACTTCCAATTACCAAATCTTCATCATTATTGCTATTGTGTTCCATGTTGCTTACTGGATGATACGGTCCGCAATTCTTTGTAGGATTTGGCAACACATTCTAAAAGTATTCAGGGTATCAATAAATGATACTTGAAATAAATATAGTCGGTCGGATATAGCTGATTTATCCAGCAATCGAAATTATCCTTCTATTTTTGTATACTTATGTTCTCGCATGTACTTTTCTATTACAGTTTAATATCAAGAACAATTGTTTTAATCGATTTTCCATGGAAAAAGAAACTAATAGAATAATATATATTTTAATTAATAGACTATATTTTTACTATTGTACCTTCCAGAAATTGGGTTGACAATTCTTTGACTTCCATTGCAGCCACATGTCCTTAGACTCGTCAGTTTCTAAAGATTCCTTCTTAAATCCCATCTTCAAGGCAAAGTCAGTAGCTAAGTCGCCACCTAGCAAAGAATGCTTGGTATTTTCCAATATTTTACGAGCTACTGAAATGGCACTCTTCACATTCCTCAAGCCTCCTACTCCACCTATATCCATTGTCACTCTGACCAGGAAATATATTTTTTCTTTTATCAGTTATATCCAAGGGTATAAATTTATATTTATTAAAATATTAAACCACCGCAGGTACTATATTATTTCTAATACCCATCCATAATCATAGCATCCAATGTAGTTTCTCCAGCTTCATCTGGACTACCACCAAAACCTACAGTTTTCCTACATTGTAGCTCTTCACACAGAGAACAGCCTTCTTCTATAGCATCCAAAGCACTTCCTTTTTTATTATGAATCACATTCCATGCTTCGAAAATAATTTAAAACATTTATTAAGTGGCATATTTAGAGATTTTATCATATTTTCTTGAATTTCTTTGTAATATAAATATATTTATACCTATATAATGTAACTTATTATAATTTAAATACCTTTCTCTGTAGCTTCCTTGTAATCCCATGTAATCACTATGACAGGAAAACTGTTATTTAAGGCATTAGTATATCCATCAATTGTTTTTACAGACAAACAAATTTGTAAAACTAAAAGGACTTTAAAGTAGATAAATTTCATGTTAACTGTAGCTCCTAGAGATGCTGAATAAGGTCTTGAGCAATGCGAACTTTGCACTGAAAAAAAGTAGGAGGATAATTTTGATAATGTGGGGAGACTTATCTCTGATAAGTTGAAAGTATCTATATTTACTCAAAGATATTTCTATTGTAGGATACAACAGTCTTATTGCAATAGTCTGTTATTACTGCTAGCAGAATTATAATTTATAATTTTCTAGGCAAAATCATGATTAAAATATTGGATTCTAGTTCATAATATATTTTGCTGGTAAGTGTTATAGAATAAAATAATTCTATGCAATTATGCAGTATTATGATGCATTTTTCATTACACAAATAATTATAGTAATTGTCAATACATTGCTATTCAAATACAATAAAGTATTATTCTTAAAAAAAATCGCGGACATTATTTACATATAGCATATTTTTTTTTCTTCGAATGACCTGGAATTAGTGGTTTATCAGTTAGTCTTATAGCATATTCGAGTGCTACGGATTTTAATTCACCCGGTGTTAATTAATGATGTCATGAATTCTCTGTTGAGTTACTAGACTAATAACCAAAATTTAACCCATATTCGATCCATGCAATTGCGAATTGACTTAAAGCCAAAAGATGTGTCAGCTTGAGAATCTCTTTGGACATTCATACGTTTTAATCATTATTGCACGTTTTATAAGAAATACAAAAATGTCAATTGTATTGTTAATAGGAGTATAAAAATATATTATTTTTTCTTCACGTTTTTACTTTATATAATATTAAAAATTCCTAAGTATATGTTTCCTAACCTTATTATCATCATATTTTTCCTATTATTTCAATAAATTTACTTATGTAAAATATTTTTTTTTACTCGAATATTTCTTGCTTTTATTTTAATATTATCATTAGAACTGTCTGATAAAAACAAAAACTCTGCTACTATAGAGTTAATTTGGCACGATCTGTCATTTTAACTTAAGATCAATATCATCTGATTCTGGTTCTAGTTCAATAAATGGCTCTGAGTAGAGCTGTTAGGAACTCTAGTTCTTACGCCAGTCAACGATTACAAAAAATAAAAAGAAAAACAGGGACAACGTGTATGCAGTCTCCACGATAAAAAATATGCGTAGTTACGAAAACCACATCCAACCGCCACGAAGGCGAACAAAAGACTTACAAGATCAATATCAGAGAGAAGGAGAGGTGTCATGCAGTGATGTATATTAGGGACCTCAGCACGCACGGCTTTACCCTCTCCACTCGCTCTCACTCCGCTGTCCGTGCGTTCGGCTAAGCTCGGCAAGCCGAACGAAAGAGAGAATCTGCTCTTCCTTCTCGCGCGGTGAGCGAAAGGTAGAATAATTTGTTCCTTGTCGCACGTTCGGCGGGCCGAGCGAAAGAGAGAATCGTTTCTTCTTTTTCGCGCGCTTGGCAGGCAGAGCATAAGAGAGAATTGGCCCGCTGAATGTGCGAGAAGGAAGAAACGATTCTTTCTCGCGCGTTCAGCGGGCCGAGCGGAGACAATTATTTGCTCTTTATCGCTCCGTCCACCAGCAAGACGATCGAGTTTATACGTTTTTTCGCGATTCGCGACTCAGTCTACACCGAGTCGGCCTATAATCTATATTATAGATCATAGACCGTAAAAAAAAGATGATATGCTTTTCTAATTCTCTCCTTACAGGTTGTAGCTTTATATATTATATAATATCTGTAATACAATTTTAAACTCATTATATAAATAAGTAAATATAAATAAGTAAATAAGAGGGAAAAGAAGAAATCCACTCTTTGTCAGTAACGTGGACAGAATGAAGCCATAAAAATATTTGTTATTCTTGCTCAATTAATGTCAAATTAATTAATATCATCACAAAAACACATTAGTATTCATATATTAGAAAGAAGAAGAAAATAACACAGAATATTACTGTTATATAGCATAGATATGGAACAAGTATACTTACCGATGTTATGTATAACAGTTATATTTTGTGTTTGCTGGAAATAAGTGTGTAAAAGCTGTATTATATTTTTTACGCAAATTGCTTAATTAAAAAGAAACGTTCAAGTCCATATTACTGCTCGACGGAAACCACGGGAAGTGGTGGTCTCTTCCATCAGGAGGAAATGTAGTAAATTGTCTAATAAGTTATAACTTATAAAAAACTAATATATTAGGTGTACAAATGAATAGTCCAATTTTTTTCAGCTACATTCAAGGTTTATTTTAAAAGAAAGTAAATTAAATTGTTCAATGAAAGTATTCGCCGTTGCTTTCTATAACTTTAAGCCATCTTTCAGGCAGCGGATGAATTCTATCTCGGAAAAATGTTACGTCTTTGGACACGATAAAGTCGTCAAGCCATTTTCGGATCTCATCCACTGATTGGAAGTGCATATCGGACAAGGTGTGTTGCATCGACCGGAACAAGTGATAATCGAATGGAGCAATGTCTGGTGAATACGCCGGCAGTGCTGCAAGACGTCCCAGCCAAGACTCATTATGGTGTCTTTTGTATTGGAAGCAATGTGTGGCCTGGCGCTGTCATACAACAATTTCACTGGACGTTCTCCTTTGCCAGTATACGAGCGTTTTCGTTCCAATTCTTGACTCAAGCAGATTAATTGACGTTGGTAGCAGTCCGCAGTAACTGTTTCACCCGGTTCCAACAACTCATAATAAAGTACGCCCTTGATATACCACCAAATGCAGAGAAGAACCTTCTTTCCGAAGCGATTAGGTTTTACAACCGATTTTGATGATTCGCCGGGATTTATCCATGACTTTCTGCGTTTCGGATTGTCATAGAGTATCTATTTCTCATCGCCCGTAACGATTTTCCAGAAAGAAAGACTTCCGACGCTGCTTATTGAGAAGAGAAAGACACGCTGCCACTCGTTGATTTTTGTTGGTTTCAGTGAGTTCATGCGAAACCCATCTTACATCTACAATGAAACTCACATCTTCCCAATCCAAAGTCATATGTGCCCTATCAGTTAACCAACAAAGCCTACTTCACTGATGGTTATAAACTCTTATCTCAGGCTTTGATTTACGGCATTTTGATTTTTCCAGCCGGCCGCTTGTATACATTTCTCTATCTCAAGAATCCACCACCTCCACGCTTGTCGCGCCTAATTCATTCAGCCAATCGTATCATATCTACCTAAAACTATGAGACACCCACGCTCCACCTTTTAGCCCTTCCATATTCATATCTCCAAAAACTAACTGTCTCCTCCCACGATGTCTTTTAACTTCGCTAATGGCTAAGACTTTTTCCCACTACTGTCAACCAGGACCAATAATAAAAATTAGTAACAAAATTTCTAACTTCATTGGGTTCTCCTTAGGGCTTCACCCCTCTTTAAAAGGGCCATCTCTCTACCCACCCTGATAGCTTCTGCCTCCGATCATTGATATAAAAACCGCGGTAATCCGCCTCCGCGACACTACTCTGAGAGACAGAAGAACACGGAAATGAAAAAGCTCAGACTCGCACTCTCACGCAGATATTTAGATCTTGAGCATTAGGACTCAGATTCAAATCTTCATAATTCCAGTTCATTCAAATATTTAGTATTCAAATATTCAAGCATTCGGATTTTGGAAAAAATGCGGGCTTCCTCTTTATATAAGTGAACGACTATTTGGTGCCTCAATCGGAATGCGAATATTGGAAACGAGAACACCTACGCAGATCTGCGCCATTCTCACTTCTGCTTGTGTCAACTCATCCTGAATCAGTAGTAAGTTTCATTTTCTTTACTTTCCTTCCTACTTCTTCCTACTTCTATTTTATTCATTCCACCCTTGAACTTCCTATTCATATTCGTTCCCTTTCCCATCCCTTTCTTTTTCCATTTCATACACACACTCATACACACACACATACACTCATTCATCTAAGTATAATTGTCATGTTCAAACCATACCATTACATCATTTTGGGTCGCTATTCATCTTAATAAACCTGTAAAAATTCAATGCGCACCGTTATATCCTATTATTAATAAATTTGTTAATTCAAACCGTGCCATTATATAATTTTGACATCTTTATTTTAATAAATCTGTTAATAGTTATTATCACCAATTAATTTCGAAATCACCCCACCTTCCAACAGCCAACTCATGGTCCTATCCCCGGTAAAGGGATTCGCGTCCCTGACCGAAAAACGGACCGCTCGTCGTACGTTGGTGCCCGAGTAAAGGGACTCGTCGGGTCCCTGACCCGTTCACTGACACGCGTGTACGAACGAAGTTCGCCTTACTCGCGAACGAAAAGGTTGCGTTCCTCCTCTAGGACGTAACAGCTGCAATTCGATATTCCTGAGTCTTGTTCTTTTTATTTTTATTTCTTCTTCGTGTAGTTCTTTTAAATGTTTTATTTGCAGATGATTAATTTCTGTTAAATGTTCTTCCCTCATAGATGCCATTCTTTCTTCGTATTTTAATTTAATATATGCTAAAGACTCCTCCTATTGCATTATTTGTTTTATCCGTTTTATTTGTATATTTTCTTCTGCATTTAATTCCGTTATTTCTCTTTTTTTCCTTTTCATACGTGAAGTTCTGTTTTTGTCATTGCTTGAGAGATGTAATTCCACATTGTCTTGAACTTTATCACATTGTTCATGAAGAACTATCGATTTTTCATTATATTGTTCTATATTGTCTTCAATAGTAGATATATCTATAAGATTAGGAATTATTATTGCTATTATAATTAGTACTTTGCAAAAAGATATTAATATACATTACATGCAAATATGTATAATATTATAATGAATACCTTTGGACATGGTAGTTCCTATATCACTTATTATGTTTATTGCATCATCCTTATAATCGGATAATTGGACATTATTATTTACAGGTAGGAGGTCAAGTATAATATCACATTTGTCTAAAATGCAGAAAAATATTACTGAATATTTAATATTTTAGATACAACAAAAATATATTTATCAAACAATGAAAGTATAGAATTACATGTATAATAAAATAAGAGAAAACAAATATATTCAGAGTTTAGGGAAGAAATATTACGAATATAACAGATAAGATAAACTATAAACCAAGAGCAACATTTGATAGATGTTAAATTAAAGGGAATTAGTTGTTGTAAAAATACAAATATTTTGCTACATACAAAAATATTTATTAAAAACACAATTTTAAAAAATTCCGCAGTATAAAATTAAAATATTTGCAAAATAATCAAACACTAAAAATTAATAAAACGAAACTCTTCTGAGTTAAATTCAGATGATTTTTTATCAAATGTTAACATTAAGAAAGTCTAATAATAGTAATTGTACCTCTATAAGTGTGAATTTATTTATAAGTTACTTTTTCACATATCATTAATTTCCTTTTCAGTCATATTAGATGTGAATAATACTGGTGCAGTTTTCATTAAATGAGGTACAATAACAGCAACATCGGGATCAACGGTTGCTCAGGTTATTCTGGTCCACCGCTAGTTGCCATACGTGCCTGTCTTTCTTTTGTAATCGCCTCTCTCTGACTCTGCTTGATGTTTGTCCATAGTTTTTTCAATTGTTGCACTCTCTATTTACAAGTTCTCTATTTACAAAATTATAATACAATTGTAAACTGTAAAATTATTAACTAGAAAATTAAAAATTGTCATTGTTCTCACCTCTTGAGAAATTAATGCAGATTCATTGTATTTGCTGCAAATTTCGTTCCATGCTATTTCTTTTTCTTTTAGTGTTGTTCCATCACTTTTTTTCATTTCTATAATGTTTAAAAATATTCAGTATTTGTAGAAATACTTTTCTTTTAATTGTTGTGTAATGTTTATTTTTGCTAGAACTAGGATTGCTTTTATATGACATCCTGTAAAAATGTACGAAATATAAAATACATTTACGGATAAATCATTTTTACATATATACTTACTTTGTTGTGCCAAAGAGAAAATGATTAAACTGTGCAACGATGGCGAGAGAGTGAGAAAAAGAGATAATAGTCATGACTAATGACATACAAGATGGTAGATATGGTTCTAAAATGGTTCAATCCTCCTATTGGAGGAACTGATGGAAATATTACAGAAACAGCCGAGTCGTGAATAAGCACAATCTTAAGAACGTCTTCGTCAAGTCAACCTCAAATCAAATAAGTCTTACTTGAGCAATATATTCTTCGCGAAGATCATCTTCTTTCATGACTATGAAATCTACTGATCTTGAGACAGTCTTGATTGAATAAGACCGACTTAACCAAGATCGTCTTAAGTGCTGATTTGAGACTCGACTATGAATACGACCCTTAGTTGGCTCGATCACTCCGACCTTGCCTTAGTTGGCCGGATCATCCTACGACCTTGCCTTAGTTGGCCGAATCACCCTCCGATCTTGCCTTAGTTGGCTAGATATCTTACTTTAATAAACTCGATAACTTCGGAACAGCTTATTCAAATTTGATAAAACCATAGTGCTTTGAAAAGGTATGAAGAAGGGCTATAAGAATATGCAATAAAAAATTGGAAGTTCCATTTAAAAAATCCGAGGTGACCTTGTCCTCACGTTGATGACGCTATCCAAGGTCAAATTGTTCAGATCGGTAAATAGATATTTTTCAACGCTACAACTTTTGTCTGAAATATTTTTTTATAAAGTGTATATTTTTCGAAATTTTCAGGGGTCCCGGGGTTTTTTCTTCACCCTGTATATACCTTTATTTTAATGACACATTCAAAGTGCGTTATCTTTGTAAAAAGGACTGATAATCTATGTGATAAATTGCAATAAATAAAATAGTATATACTTCTATTTCATCGTCTTCAGTTACTTAACCAGCCTCTGTATGCAAACATATACAGGGTCATCGAAAAGTATCGGACCCCCTAATATCTTCAGTTAGAATGCATTTTGGAGAAAATGTCCAATATCAAAGTTGTATGGTTTCAAGCGGGGAGTTTCAAAATGATGACTTTGACTTTGACCTTAACCATGTCCTTCAAGGTCATTTCAAGGTCAACCTTTTTTTTAAATAGAACCTCCAACATTTTATTGTATATTTTTATAGCTTATCTCGAGAGCTTTCCAAAACACTATAATGAAACATTTTTTCATTAAGTACTTTTTGAGTTATTGAGGTTATTGAGTTATTGAGTTATTGAGGTTTGAAGTTAACAATTTGTTAACTTCAAACCTTTATAACCATTGTCGTGCCATGTGCTGTTCTGCATAATCTTTCTTTGATATTTAATAATATTTTAGAAGAAGAAGAAGAAGAAGAAGAAGAAGAAGAAGAAGAAATAGAAAATATGAATGAATATGAAGAAGTTCCACTAATGCCTCATTGGCAACCTGGAGATGGCTTTGTGGTGCGAGATGCTCTGATTCAACGATTGTTCAGATAACTGATTAATTTAATTATAATATTAATAATTATATAATTTATATAATTTGTTAAGTGGTGTGTGATTCCGGCCAGTTAAAGCAAGAATGGTGTGTGATTCCGACTAGTTAAGGCAAGAGTGGTGTGTGATTCTGACCAGTTAAGGCGAATTTCATTTCAGCTTTGGTCAGCTTGGGCAAAATATTCAATTGTACCAAACAATTCACAACAAATGTTCAAATTGTTGCCCTTTAACAGCCTGGCAATGTGCCAATCTGTTATAAACAGCTGAAACCGCATTCCGGAACGTTTCCGGCGGTATTAGTTCTATCTCTTGAGTTATTCTCCCACTTAAATCATCTAAATCTTGAGCCTTGGTGGCATAAACTTTACTTTTCAAATAACCCCACAAGAAAAAGTCAAGTGGGGTCAAGTCCGGAGACCGAGGTGGCCACTCAATATGACCCCTTCGCCCTATCCACCTGTCCTGAAAGACCTCATTCAAATATTGACGGACAATGACACCATAATGAGGTGGAGCTCCATCCTATTGGAAATAAATTTCACCCATATTTCCACCAGCTATGTCTCGAATAGCTGGAACAATTTGTTCGTGAAGCATGACTGTGTATACTTGTGCTGTCAAATTGCCTTCAATGAAGAAAGGGCCAACTGGTCTACCATTAAGAATACCAGCCTATACGTTAACTTTTTGTGGATATTGGGTATGATTGATGATGATCTCTTCCAGTGAGGATTAACGTCACTCCAGTATCTACAATTGTGTCTATTTACATTTCCAGTCAGTTCAAATGTTGCCTCATCAGCGAAAACAATATTATTAAGTAATAGAGGATCGTCGACAATCATCTCCATCATAAGATCACAAAATTCGATGCGTCTATCAAAATCGTCTTCGGACAACTCTTGGACCAAATGGAGTTTGTATGGATGCCATTTATTCAATTTCAGAATTTTACTAACAGATGTATGACCGATTTCGTGTTCTTGTGCAACGCGATTGATGGAAATGTGGGGACTTTCAACGAGAGACTGTAAAACATCTAATGTTTTATCATTATTTGTTGCTGTTGTACGTCTACCAGATCTTGGGCGGCTTTTAACGCTACCAATGTCTTCGAAACGTTGAATAGTACGGATTACAGTACTTTTGGAGATCCTATTATTTTCATTCCGAAAATTTTCATTAAATAATCGCGTTACTGTTTTATACCCTCTTTGTTGATCTCCCCATCCTCGCATCATTAACAGAGTTATTCGATCTCTTTCAGAAAGCTCCGCCATTCTTAATTAGAGCAAAAAAGAATTAATCAGGTAAGTGATAGGAAATTGATCTAAATAATTAAGTAGAGAAAAATACTAATTATTAAGTGTTGGTCTAACTATCGATTTGTTTATTTCAACCAGCACTAGCAAAAAGCTCGTTGAGCAGCTGAAAATGTAATAGATCAATTAATAATATTTACGAAAAAAATTCTGAGCTATTGGAAACAAAATGAAGATGTTTGGGACAATCAATTGAAGCGCAATGGCTTCTTTTGTTACAGAAACAATTTTTGGGGCTGTTCGTTTTCGTCCACGAGGTGACTGTTGCTCGCTAAGAAGAAGACAGCACTGCATCAAAGATTCAAATCAGTAATCCGCATTGTTTGCTCAAGAGCTTATATTACTATTGGTGCCTGCGAGAGTGAGACAATAAAGATCGGCTCCGCCAACGCTTTCGGGCAGATTCCCATTAACGCCTTCGGACATCACGCATTTGAGCAGCTTCTTGCAATCACCCTCAGGCAGTTTTCCGCCATAGCCTACTAGCATAACCGCTTGAAGCTGTACAGCTTTGCTATTGGACATTTTTCCAAAATGCATTCTTACTGAAAATATTAGGGGGAGCCGATACTTTTCGATTAATGTATTTTCTTTAAATCAATTAATTGGTCTCATTATTTCGCGCACAAAAGTATTATGATTACTAAAAGGTTATGATTACTAAAAGGTTATGATTACTGAAAACTACATAATATTTTACAAGATATTTTACATTTTGTGTCAAAAAACTGTTAACTTCAAACCTTTATAACTCAAAAAGTACTTAATGAAAAAATTGTAGCGCGAAAGGCCACGTGACGCGCTCTATGGCCGCTGCAGGGGCGCCACTTTAGACACCTCGATGCACGCGCCGCGAGAGGGAAAAGCACAAGGAGAGAGAGTCAACCGTTTTGGTGTCGTGTATGGTTTTCGGGAAGAGAAGGATTGTACGTTCTTGAGTTTGTCCAAAATATATTCGGCGGCTTTTCTCTTAGTGTCGGGAGTGATCATCCTTCACCCTCTCTTCCTCTCCCTGCTGATCCTAAGCGTCGTGAACGAGCGTGGAATACCCCTAACCCTACGTGCGTCGAGGGGATACATAACCTCGCCATAATCTGGCGCCCAACTTTGAGGCCACGGTTCACGACGGGAGTTACCCGTAAAAGCCAAAACGCAGGCGAAAAGCGATCCAGGACGACCGGCGACACGGTCGCGAACGCAAGCGGACTCAAAACCGACGGGAAAGAGTAAGACGACAAAATGGCCGAGCAGCAACAAAGCAATTCGATCACGTTAACGAACGAACAGTTTTCTGCCCTTCTACAACAAATACAGACTTCGGCGACAAACGTTTTCGCTGCAAACGTCGCGCAACCACAAGGTAACTTTTCGCGATGCACATCCCGATTCGACGGAGCAAAAATGTTTGATGTAGAAGCTTTCATCGACGCGATCGTCACGTACAAAGATTGCACGAATATATCCGATGTAAGCGCATTGAAAAGATTACCGATTCTCTTTACGGACCTCGCCGCGACGTGGTGGCAAGGAGTCAAAGCCACAACGGATACTTGGGACGACGCGTTAGGGTTACTGAGACATACATACGGACGCAAAAAACCGGCATTCCGCATATACAGAGAACTGTTTTCGGACGCGCAAGGAGATGACACGCCGACAGACATATTTATCTGCAAGGACGCGTGCTACTTTCGAAGCTCCCATACGCGACGCCATTACCGGAAGCCGTGCAGCTAGACATGGTTTACGGGTTATTATCACCCAAAATCCGCAAAGAAATATCACGCGAACGGATTGCGTCATTCGCGAAATTACTTGATCTCGCGAGATTAGTCGAGGAAACGATCGCGGAAGAACCGGATAAATCGTCTCCACAGCCGAAACTGATGCAAAGAAATGAAACCCGTCCCCGTTGTAAATATTGCAAAAATTTCGGGCATGTAATAGAAGAGTGCAAGAACCTCGGGAAAAAGCAAATCGAAAAGAGGGCTGCGATACCCAGGGCGAGCTACGTTGAAGCCGATACCGATACTGCGCCAGGGAATAGTCAACGCGCCTTGCCTGCGATAACCTGTTTTGGATATGGCCATCCCCGATACCTGTGTAAGGATTGTCCGAAGTGCGGTAAGAAGAACCAAACCGGGAAAATCGAGCCTAAATCCGAATTTTGCCTTATGGACGCATCCGAAGTACACGCGAACCACATGAATCGACCGATTCTCAACGTGGAAATATTAGGAGCGAACGGCACGGGACTTATTGATACTGCCGCTAGGTTAAGTGTTGCAGGATCCACTCTATATAAAATCCTCGTTGAAAAGGGGGGCGAGGTTCAAGGATACAAAGTTATGCATCGGACTGGCGGATGGAA